ATGTGCAGCGTCCAAAATGGCGTCTTACTTGTCGCCGGGTTCAACTTTAATCTTAAGTGAAAGGAAGTGTCCGATATCCAGCTTCTGTACGCATGTTTCAATATTATAGTATTTTTAACAAGCTGTCAACAGCCGGCTATGTTGAGGAGAAGATTAAGGTATTTATTTACACGATATTATTTGATTAACCTGAAGTTGTGTGTACTGCTGGTATTCGGTACTATATCAGTAGGAGAAGTTGGTTGCTTCTTATGGAAATTCTTTAGCTGGCGGATCCCTGAACCATCCAGCAGTTCACTAAATCTTCTTCTTATCTCTGACTCACAAATACAGGTGAGATTGATCGTTTATAATTGGAGGGGTGTAAAGGGAGTTACCCTAAGGCTATGGAGACACAATAGGTGGTTTTCACGTTACGTCATCGCCGCCATGCTGGTGGACGGTAAACAAAAGATCGCTCATTAGCTCGTTTTGTTTGTCCACCAGCATTTGTTCATTTCACCATTGTTATTTGTCTCTCCTGAGACTGCATGAAAACCACCTATATTAGATAGCTTTTGAGGGGCCACAAAAATCATACTGGATAGGGCTTCTGGTTACACACAAAAATGGTTGTGGCAATGTGATTTCTATAATGGCAAACGAAGCTGCGCTGTGCCAATCTCTAAAGCCTGGTTTTCACTAGTACATAAACATAAGCACAAGCACAAGCACAAGCACACGTGTAAGCAAGTGAAAACTGGGTCGACATAAGCATAAGCATAAGCACAAGAAAAACGGACAAGTTCGTTCTTCTTGTGTTTGTGCTTATGCTTATGTCATAGCTTTGACTAGTGAAAACTGGGTCGAAATAAGCATAAGCATAAGCATAAGGCCATGGACCAATCATAGGTCACTTTGACCCCGACCTCATGCGAACATTTGAAAAGCAAATTATATGGCGGACGCTACCATCTTGTTTATCATTGGGTTGAGTAGAGCTGGTATCGAGAATTGAGTCAAATATACCATTCTACGCGTGCATATGTCCTTATGCTTATATGCTTGCACTAGTGAGATCCAGACTTAAAGTGGAGAGTCACATATGGGATAGGTGTTCATACTATACTGGATAGCTTTTTGTGGCGCCCCGAAAAGCTAACCGGTATAATGTGCCATAGCCTTAGGTACTCTCACCTCCATTTTTCTTTTGCTGGGTATTTACTGGTAAAAAAACAAAGAATTAATAAAGCCATTTATTTTTAAATTTATTACTAATCCTGCATGTCAATTTTTTTTTTCAAGCTAGTTAAAGTGACTTTCAGGCTGGTACATGCTAGCTACAGCTTGCCCTTTGGGGCTGTAAAACTAACTTTCTTTGCACCCTGATTGTTATGTCTTGTTTTTAACTTGTACTATTCTTAAAGGTGTGGTCTGGCCCTCTGTCACTGTTGTATCAGTGTACCAATAAGCTGCCATTATCTAACTTTTTAAATTACCTTTACACAAAAGTGCCTACCATAGAAAGCTTTCCTACTGATGTTCTTAAGGTGGTTCAGTCATTTAAATATATCTTCAACTTTGGTTGCGGGTGATATGAGATAATATAAAGCGAGGTTTGTAAATCAATACTTGACACTTTCCTACATTCCAGTCAATACTCCCCAAGGTACTTTTATCCTTAGGCACACCAAATATTTATGAGTAGAAATAACAACAATGCCTTTCTTAAATTTTTGGGGTAAAAATTTGTGTCTACCTGGTCCATTAGACAGGCAGTGTCTTATATTAAGCCCTCCCACCCTGTATTGAGGTGGTCATTATCAAGTACACTAGTTAATACCACTTACCTAATTTAACTAGCGTTCAGTTTATGTTGATCTATGCAATTCTGCAGGGCTTTAGGAATGAACCATCAGGTATTCTGGGAAGCATAACCCGCCTAGATGCTGACTGGTATTTACAGAAAGCCTTCATGTTGTTAATGATGGTATTTACCCCTAATGCAGTCATTCATTTAGGTATGACCGAACCCTGTCACTTCTTTGTATCATAAGTAATCCAGTCGATAAAATTCCAATTCTTGTAGAACTTTGCCGTTTTTAGGTGACATATTTGATGAAGGAAACATTGCAACCGATGATGAATTTCTGCATTATAAGGTATTACCAGTAAGATTAAGTTAAGAACACTTGACTTTCTGTGAATTAACCCTGCAAGTCCCAATATCCACATATAAATTCTCCCTACTGATCTTCATATATTTCCTTAAAGAATTAAGTGAGAGAGTTTGGTAACAGATCAAAGCATTTTCTCTTTAGTGATCTTTTTGTTAACTCTCATAACCATTTCTTTTGGCAACATTGAATTTTTAGGAGTGTCTCTTTATCTTTCATGCAGGAGTCACTCCCTGGCCTTGGCAATAAACACAATTATTGTGTTTATCAAGAGAAAGTTGATGTTCATTCCATTGCATTGCCATCAGTAATTGGTGTGTTGCTTGACAATGATTTTCAATGAATATTTTCTTTGTCAAATCCCTAACCATCACATATTTTTGATTCCCAGACCCGACATGATAAAATCTTCAATGTCCGTGATGGTGTTACCAAGATACATGTTGCTGGTGACAATGATATCGGTGGTGAATGGATGGACAGCATAACACAAAACCTTGTCTCCAGATTCTCACAGTACTTTGGTTCCATCAATGAAATCATTGAACTTAAGACTTTTCAGATTGTGAAGGTAAGAAAACCCATTTCCAAAATTAAGAAAGACAGTTTGGCCTACAGAGACTGACTCATCTCCAGACATCTCTTTATCATTAGCATGCAGTCGCTAATTGGTCGCAGTAGACAAGTATGGCAACTCTACGGAGGAGATAACAATAATTAGGGAGGAGAAAGAAATTAGAGACATTGTCTCACACTTTCTTCCTTGATCCTGTCTTCCCCTATGTCAATTTTGTGCACAGAGCTGCAAGTAATAGTATGTCATTGGACAATGTCCCACTAAAATTGACCCAAGTTTTAGAGATGAATTCTTGAATGTTGGTGATCATGATGTCTGGTAAAACTTTATACAAACAAATCTCTACTAATGACCACCTCTCCACAACAGCCACCTCAGTCTCTTTTTTGAATTTTGATGGACAGTCCATACATTGACTCTTGTTTACCCCTCTCTATAATGACAACAGCCACCAAAGTGCATCCGCAACTGCCAAATTAAAATAACCTCTCTACAACAGCCAGTTTATTCAGTGACTGACGAAAAGTAAAGAAATGTGATCGGTATGGCGAGTCGATGGTTAATCGCAGCATTTTTTCAATTCATTTAAGATTTTAAATACAGCACTTTTTTGTGAGAACCTTTTTTAGAACTCACTTAGAACATACCTGAGGCTGAGAGTCCAGTTATTAAAGAGCAATCTTATTTTGCTCAGCCACACAAGCATTTGACAAGCAACTTGATACCACCGCAACAAACAATATTGATGATTGGATGACCATTATAGGCTAAAGCAAGTATGAACTTGGCACAATCAACATGTTGTACTCCTGGGCCAGGTTGTTCGAAGCTGGGTTAAGATAATCCTGGGTTAGTGCAAAATTTGAACTCAGATATCAGAAATTAAAAAGCAAATTCAGTTTAATTCTCTTTGCCTACAATTTGATAACTGGATACTCTAAAAAGAAGTGAGAAAATTATCTGAGAAAGTGCTTTTGATAAAAAGATGAAGAAACCTGGGTTAAAATTTAACCCCGGGTTAGCGCTAACCGGCGTTCAAACAACTGGGCCCTGGAAAAAAACACCCCTCCCTCCCCATAATGGCCACTTCTCCATGCTGCAACAGCCACTTACTTCTGTCAACCCCCAAGGTTGCTGTTGTGGAGAGGTTCAACGGTGCCAATGAATATCACTTTGCAGATGAACATATCAGGGATGTGCGGCATCACATTTTTAAAGTTGCTATTATTAAGCCGGAGAAACCTTGTGATGAGTTGCCACTTATGAGTTTTTAAAAACAATGAAAAATTATACTGAATATCATAACTGGAGAAACCTTGTGATCAGTTGTCACTTATGAGTTTTGAAAAATAATGAAAAATTATACTAAATACCATCATACCCCAGAAAAGTGGCTTTGGTTGCTCACAACAGGTAGTCACTCAAGAGACATATTGCTTTCAGTGGAATTAGATGGTCACACAAAAATACTGTATTTCATGGCAAGAATATTATTTTGTCACTCTAACTTTTAAATCTCAGGACAAAATACTGTCATGTTGCCATTCAAATAAACATTCTTGCTTGAACTTTTGCATAATACTTTTGTTGGCTAAAATGGTCAGACATGGTCCCTTTATCAGCAGAGATTGACTGCGTTTAGTGTGAGCTTTTTTTTGGTTTATTATGCCAAGAAAGTTTCTTTTTTATTTACTACAGGTTAACACGTTAAGTTTAAGAAGAAGTAAGCCATTTAAGGATGAAGAAAAAGCTTATAACAAGACATTGGAATTTATTGATGAGTTGCCTTCAAAGCTTGACAGGACAAAACCATCCATTCTGATCAGCCATACAACACTAAAAGGAATTTCTAACAAAGCAATCATAGCGAAGGTGAGGTCATGTCTACATGTATTTTTGTATTATTTGTTACCCTAAATGTAGCTGATTGTGGTGGTACTTTTTATTGTGAACTTGTCAAAATGCTTTGGCCAAACAATCAAGCTATAACCTCAGACAAAACTCTTAAGACAGTTCCATTTATTTTCTCATTTAGCACCGTACTACACTCCTCTAAGCAGGACAAAGAAATTAAGCCCCCTCCCCAGCCCCTAATTCAATGTCATTTTCTAAAAGCTCATGTGTATAATTCTTGTTTAACTGTGATATCAATTACTACAAGTTATTGTTCTTCGCTCTTTTAACTTAAAATTTGTAAAAACTATTGTTTTACTAATTTTTAAAAAAAAATTTGGGGGAATGTGAAATAAGAATTTTTCATTGAAAAGTAAGTTATCACTATCTGATCATATATGCACTATCAAAATCATGGCCTTTTAATACTCTGCAACTAAATTATGCATATAAGGTATTTAGGCACAAACTTAAAAAACAGCTTGCATGTCCATTAATGCCTTGCCTGCCCAATTGAGTGGCAAAACTTGTACTTGCCATTCATAATGGATCATCTCTTGAGATGATCCCTGAACCATCCAGCAGTTCACTAAATCTTCTTCTTATCTCTGACTCACAAATACAGGTGAGATTGATCGTTTATAATTGGAGGGGTGTAAAGGGAGTTACCCTAAGGCTATGGAGACACAATAGGTTGTTTTCACGTTACGTCATCGCCGCCATGCAGGTGGACGGTAAACAAAAGATCGCTCATTAGCTCGTTTTGTTTGTCCACCAGCATTTGCTCATTTCACCATTGTTATTTGTCTCTCCTGAGACTGCATGAAAACCACCTATATTAGATAGCTTTTGAGGGGCCACAAAAATCATACTGGATAGGTCTTCTGGTTACACACAAAAATGGTTGTGGCAATGTGATTTCTATAATGGCAAGCGAAGCTGCGCTGTGCCAATCTCTAAAGCCTGGTTTTCACTAGTACATAAACATAAGCACAAGCACAAGCACACGTGTAAGCAAGTGAAAACTGGGTCGACATAAGCATAAGCATAAGCACAAGAAAAACGGACAAATTTGTTCATCTTGTGCTTGTGCTTATGCTTATGTTGTACTTTGACTAGTGAAAACTGGGTCGACATAAGCACAAGCATAAGCATAAGGCCATGGACCAATATTATAGGTCACTTTGACCCTGACCTCATACAAACATATGAAAAGCAATATGGCGGACACTTCGTCTGCCATCTTGTTTATCATTGGGTTGAGGAGAGCTGGTATCGAGAATTGAGTCAAATATGCCATTCTAAGTGTGTGTATGTCCTTATGCTTATGCTTGCACTAGTGAAAACCAGAGTTAAAGTGGGGAGTCACATATGGGATAGGTGTTCATACTATACTGGATAGCTTTTGTGGCGCCACGAAAAGCTAACCGGCATAATGTGCCATAGCCTTAGGTACTCTCACCTCCATTTTCTTTTGCTGGGTATTTACTAGTAAAAAAGCAAAGAATTAATCAGGGTTGTTACTAAGATTTCAAGTTGCAGGGTAAATACAACCAGTAGGCGGGGAATTTTGGTTCTATTTTTCTTTCATTTTCCTATGAAAGTAGCCAGGGACCATGTTCATAGTAGCTGGGGGAAATCTCCGGCCTCCGCCTCTTAATGACAGCCTTGATTAATAAAGCCATTTATTATTACATTTATTACTAATCCTGCATGTCAATTTTTTTTTCAAGCTAGTCAAAGTGACTTCCAAGCTGGTACATGCTAGCTACAGCTTGCCCTTTGGGGCTGTAAAACTAACTTTCTTTGCACCCTGATTGTTATGTCTTGCTTTTAAGTCGTACTATTCTTAAAGGTGTGGTCTGGCCCTTTGTCACTGTTGTATTAGTGTACCAATAAGCTGAAATTATCTAACCGTTTAAATTTCCTTTACACAAAAGTGCATGCCATAGTAAGCTTTACTACTAATGTTCTTGAGGTGGTTCAGTCATTTAGATATGTTTTCAATGTAATTGCCGGTCATGAGATATAATATAAAGCAAGGTTTGTACATCAATACTTTACACTTTTTATAATTGGGGCCCTTTTTGAACAATTAATTTAATCAACAGTATGGGCTGAGCTACTTTATGTAAGTCATTACATTGGCCTGTAAATGGCATTCCAGTCAATACTCTGCATAGTACTTTTATGCTTAGGTACACCAAATATTAATATTTTATAAGTAGAAATAACAACAATGCCTTTCTTAAATTTGTGGGGTAAAAATTTGTGTCTATCTTTTCCATTAGACAGGTGGTGTCTTATATTAAGCCCTCCCACCCTGTATTGAGGTGGTCGTTATCAAGTCCACTAGTTAAGACCACTTGCCTAATTTAACTAGCGTTCAGTTTATGTTGATCTATGCAATTCTATAGGGCTTTAGGAATGAACCATCAGGTATTCTGGGAAGCATAACCCGCCTAGATGCTGATTGGTATTTACAGAAAGCCTTCATGTTGTTAATGATGGTATTTACCCCTGATGCAGTCATTCATTTAGGTATGACCGAACCCTGTCACTTCTTTGTATCATAAGTAATCCAGTCAATAAAATTCCAATTCTTGTAGAACTTTGCCGTTTTTAGGTGACATATTTGATGAAGGAAACATTGCAACCGATGATGAATTTCTGCATTATAAGGTATTACCAGTAAGAATAAGTTAAGAACACTTGACTTTCTGTGAATTAACCCTTAAGTCCAAATATCCACATATCGATTCTCCCCACTGATCTTCATACATTTCCTTAAAGAATTAAATGAGAGAGTTTGAGAACAGATCAAAGCATTTTTCTCTTTTCTTTCATGTGGGAGTCACTCCCTGGCCTGGGCAATTGTGTTTATCAAGAGAAAGTTGATGTTCATTCCATTGCATTGCCATCAGTAATTGGTGTGGTGCTTGACAATGATAATTCAATGAAAATTTTCTTTGTCAAATCCATAATCATCACATATTTTTGATTCTCAGACCCGACACAATAAAATCTTCAATGTCCTTGATGGTGTTACCATGATACATGTTGCTGGTGACAATGATATCGGTGGTGAATGGATGGACAGCATAACACAAAACCTCGTCTCCAGATTCTCACAGCACTTTGGTTCCATCAATGAAATCATTGAAATTAAGTCTTTTCAGATTGTGAAGGTAAGAAAACCCATTTCAAAAATAAAAAAAAAATCAGTTTGGCTCATAGAGACTGACTCATTTCCAGACATCTCTTTATCATTAGCATACAGTCGCCAACTGGTTGCAGTGGACAAGTATGGCAACTCTACGGAGGAGATAGCATTAACTAGGGAGGAGAAAAAAATTAGAGACATTGGCTCACACTTTCTTCCTTGATCCTGTCTTCCCCTATGTGAATTTTGTGCACAGAGCTGCAAGTAATAGTTTGTCATTGGACAATGTCCCACTAAAATTGACCCATGTTTTAGAGATGAATAATTCTTGAATGTTGATGATCATGATGTCTTGTAAAAATTTATACAAACAAATCTTCACTAATGACCACCTCTCCACAACAGCCACCTCAGTCTCTTTTTTTGTTTTGACGGACAGTCCATACATTGACTCTACTCTTGTTTAAACCTCTCTATAATGACAACAGCCATCAAAGTGCATCCGCAACTGCCAAATTAAAATAACCTCTCTACAACAGCCAGTTTATTCAGTGACTGACGAAAAGTAAAGAAATGTGATCGGTATGGCGAGTCGATGGTTAATCGCAGCATTTTTTCAATTCATTTAAGATTTTAAATACAGCACTTTTTTGTGAGAACCTTTTTTAGAACTCACTTAGAACATACCTGAGGCTAAGAGTCCAGTTATTAAAGAGCAATCTTATTTTGCTCAGCCACACAAGCATTTGACAAGCAACTTGATACCACCGCAACAAACAATATTGATGATTGGATGACCATTATAGGCTAAAGCAAGTATGAACTTGGCACAATCAACATGTTGTACTCCTGGGCCAGGTTGTTCGAAGCTGGGTTAAGATAACCCTGGGTTAGTGCAAAATTTGAACTCAGATATCAGAAATTAAAAAGCAAATTCAGTTTAATTCTCTTTGCCTACAATTTGATAACTGGATACTCTAAAAAGAAGTGAGAAAATTATCTGAGAAAGTGCTTTCGATAAAAAGATGAAGAAACCCGGGTTAAAATTTAACCCCGGGTTAGCGCTAACCGGCGTTCGAACAACTGGGCCCTGGAAAAAAACACCCCTCCCTCCCCATAATGGCCACTTCTCCATGCTGCAACAGCCACTTACTTCTGTCAACCCCCAAGGTTGCTGTTGTGGAGAGGTTCAACGGTGCCAATGAATATCACTTTGCAGATGAACATATGTTCATATCAGGGCTGTGCGGCATCACATTTTTAAAGTTGCTATTATTAAGCCAGAGAAACCTTGTGATGAGTTGTCACTTATGAGTTTTTAAAAACAATGAAAAATTATACTGAATACCATAACTGGAGAAACCTTGTGATCAGTTGTCACTTATGAGTTTTGAAAAATAATGAAAAATTATACTAAATACCATCATACCCCAGAAAAGTGGTTTTGGTTGCTCACAACAGGTAGTCACTCAAGAGACATATTGCTTTCAGTGGAATTAGATGGTCACACAAAAATACTGTATTTCCTCAAAATAATAGATTTCATGGCAAGAATATTATTTTGTCACTCTAACTTTTAAATCTCAGGACAAAATACTGTCATGTTGCCATTCAAATAAACATTCTTGCTTGAACTTTTGCATAATACTTTTGTTGGCTAAAATGGTCAGACATGGTCCCTTTATCAGCAGAGATTGACTGGGTTTAGTGTGAGCTTTTTTTTGGTTTATTATGCCAAGAAAGTTTCTTTTTTATTTACTACAGGTTAACACGTTAAGTTTAAGAAGAAGTAAGCCATTTAAGGATGAAGAAAAAGCTTATAACAAGACATTGGAATTTATTGATGAGTTGCCTTCAAAGCTTGACAGGACAAAACCATCCATTCTGATCAGCCATACAACACTAAAAGGAATTTCTAACAAAGCAATCATAGCGAAGGTGAGGTCATGTCTACATGTATTTTTGTATTATTTGTTACCCTAAATGTAGTTGATTGTGGTGGTACTTTTTATTGTGAACTTGTCAAAATGCTTTGGCCAAACAATCAAGCTACAACCTCAGACAAAACTCTTGAGACAGTTCCATTTATTTTCTTATTTAGCACCATACTACACTCCTCTAAGCAGGACAAAGAAATTAAGCCCCCTCCCCAGCCCCTAATTCAATGTCATTTTCTAAAAGCTCATGTGTATAATTCTTGTTTAACTCTGATATCAATTACTACAAGTTATTGTTCTTCGCTCTTTTAACTTAAAATTTGTAAAAACTATTGTTTTACTAATTTTTTTAAAAAAATTTTGGGGAATGTGAAATAAGAATTTTTCATTGAAAAGTAAGTTATCACTATCTGATTATATATGCACTATCAAAATCATGGCCTTTTAATACTCTGCAACTAAATTATGCATATAAGGTATTTAGGCACAAACTTAAAAAACAGCTTGCATGTCCATTAATGCCTTGCCTGCCCAATTGAGTGGCAAAACTTGTACTTGCCATTCATAATGGATCATCTCTTGAGAACTTCCACTAGTGATAGGGGGAATAGTGGTCATTAAGTTAGCGATTGTTTTGACTTTTGCTTCGGATAACAAGACAGTTTTGTGCAAAGTTGTATCTAATTTTCATTTCACTTTATGAATATGGTTATTTAGTAATCTGGTAGAGGGTTTTGCTGCAGAGCGAGGGGGTCGCTGGCCTAATCCCCTATCCTGGACTGATACTCAGGCAGTGGGCGGTCTTAAAAATTATCAATGAATAAGAAGAAACTGCCTTTTCCTGGCAAACAGCTTTAAAGTCTTTTGTATGACTCCAATGACCACATACGAATGACAAATGGGATAGTTCACATGTATATCACACAATTCCTCAAAACTGAGTTAGCAGCTTGACTGATATACAGATATACATATTATCACTCCTGGTTTATTGTTTTATGTCCTGTTTTCATTCCTTCAAGTTAATTGATGCCATCCAACCAACATATGCCTTTTCAGGAGATATTCATGTGGTGAGTATACTGATGTGAAGACCTTTTTTGAAATAACAGGACAACATTTACAAATTTTGTACAGTCTTGAATATCTTAGTATGTTTGTCAATCACATCAAGACTTGTTTGAGGGTTAGGGGAGAGGTGATTTGAAATGACTTGAAACTTAAGATTAATATACTAGGCTTTCAGTTAGTATCAACAGGTTAAACATCAACTAAACATGTTTAATTAAACTAGAGTCCCATTCAATTTAGTTAAAGACAGTTTTCACCCTCTTTATATAAGACTCTAAAACAATGACTATATGGCAGTAAGTAAAATGTGTAGTAGGCATGTAGCCCCATACCACATTAATTGGCAGGTACCTGCATAACCACATAGCCATAAAGCCAGGCTGGTGCATAGCCACATTGCCGGGTAGTAAATATGTAGCTGCAAAGCCTGCATAGCTTTGCTGCCTGAATGTATCCGGCCTGCACCCACACAGTAGTCACATAGCCTTGTAGTCATGTAACTGCATAGCTACTACAAAACTGTGTTACAACATAGCCACAAAACCATGTAGCTGCATAGCCAAGTAGGCTAATTAATCAGTAGTGTGTCTGACAAAACCGCCATGCCACGCACGCTAGTTACATGGCTATGCAGCTCAAGTACAGCTTTTGAGTTTGCCAGATATTCTGCAGTTTAATCTGTTTTGTAGAAAACCATAACAAATTTTAAATAATAATGTCTATCAAGCTCAGTTAAGTTAAATGACTGATCATCACCATCTCTTCCTGAAAGGACATGGTGAAACTGTGCCAAGTGGCCAGCAAAGTTTGTGGGCTTCTGGCTCTTGTATATGTTACAGGTCAAAATTAAATTCAGGTTTTTAATTTTTAACCCAGGTTGATTCTCAATTTCATTTGTCTCCTCGCCCTAATTATTCATAGATTAGGTCTAGGAGACAATGGAAATTGAGAATCAACCTGGGTAAAAAATTTTAACCTGCAACATGTACAACTCTGCAAAAATGTGCCAGTTTGGACTCTGAGTCTGAAATCATATTGAGAAAAGTGTCTCCACTGTTTTCTAGCCTGCTTCATTTCACCACCTTATTGGATCCGTCCATTTAACTGAGTATGTAGTACCTACATGTAGCTATCGAATGGGAACTGACAAGATGGGTGCTGCTATAGCTATCCTAGGTAAGGTCACTCAAACATAATCATTGGTCAGCAGCCCTCTCTGGCTCCACGTAAAGGGGTTAGGACTGTTACATGCATTTGCGCATGTACTAAAAATTCTGAATGTTCTTCAATTTTTATTACCTTGACTTCAGCAAATGGCTTTTAAGAAATTTTAAAAAAGCTTGTAAAAGCAGATCTGCCTGAGGAGTTTTATGATGATTGACATTGCTGTTAATGCATGTAAAATATATTTTTCTACTACTTTGACCTTTACAAATGGCTAGTAGGAAACTAGAAATTTGACAAATGGTGTGTTACAACTGAACTGTTAAAAAGCAGTTCTCTTCTTTTGAAAACGTATTTGAGAACCCTTTGTATTTTTTAAATATGGAAGAAATCACAGGTGAATGACTTCAGAATTGTACCTAGGGTGTGGCCAGGAAGAGGGGGGGAGGGCAAGTGTAGTGGGTAAGAAGCAATAATTGCTTCTTACCCAAGTTATAGAAGTTAAAGGTATGTGATTTTAGTTTACAGATGTTTGTGTATTCCAGATTGTTTTAGAATTTGGGGGTGGGATCTTGTTGGTTATTGAAGAAAGGGGAAAACTAGAGGTCTTGGAGAAAAAAATATATTTCGCTGTAGAAAAGAGAACCAAAAGCAAACTGGGTTAAAGCATAGCATCTCCTCCACCATGTTAGTGATAGGTGAGTGCCCTTACTACTTGCCCTCATTACCCCTTGCTTCTCCTTAACCTTGACCATCTTTTGAGCAATTCAGGCCTGCATATCATTAGAGAGAAGAGGCTGTCCCCCAAAAAGTTTGATCCAATTATTGTAGTAGCTCTTCTTGAATGAGTAATCCATTGGCCTGAATTTCCATAATCTCCTCAAGTTGCAGTCTCTGGATTGTGCCACTTAAGGGGAGGGCTGAAATTCAGGCTAATAGTCCATTTTATTAACAAATTTCTGCTCTTTGTATGTTTTGTATGTTTCAGCCCAACGTGGCTGTATATCTTTTTGTGAAATAATAAATTAATATTGTATGTGAAATGATAATTATTATATTTTAATATACCATAAATCCTCTATTAAGCCACCCAGGGGGCTTATTTTTTTCAAGCACTTTTGAGGGGGGGCTTAATAGAGAGGGGGGGCTTATTTAATTTAGTGAAATGCATCACCTGTAGCAAAAATACCGTGGTATGAGACAGAGTAGACTTGCGCATTGTACAATTAAAGTCACCGTCAAAAAACAAAAACAAAATTCTTATACTTCAAGAATGTGTTTTCGGCCTCGTGTTCTTTGGTAATTTTTATGAGAATGCTTACTTGTATTGATTTGTCGTACATAACTTACAAACAAAAATCTCTGGAAAACTCCTCTTATATTTAAATTTTTAAATGGTGACAATTCTCCACAGAAAACTAGAGCACAAAAGTTGAGAAAGTTAAGCATGTGAAGTTGGAGGTCATGCGGCCAAAGACCAAAAACAATATGAACTTCCAGCCTGAATAAACCATAACATACTGATCAGTCCATGTTAATCGTTAATTTTTTTGTGAAGAATAAGGATTGGGGGAGGGGGAAGGGGGGGGGGCTTATTTGAGAGGAGGGGTTAATAGAGGATTTAGGGTATGTAATAACAGGTTAGAGACATAAACCTCTTCCTACAATTATTGTAGGAAGAGGTATATTCCTCTAACCTGTTATTACATGGAACCTTATGTGGCACTTAATAAACCTGATACTGTGATTTATCTTCTAGGTACTGATGGTTCCATAGACTATTCCATTCTTTCACTGCCAGTGAGATACCCATTTTTCCGTGCATACTTGGTTGTCTTAGCGTACTGTTTGGTGTCATTTCTTTGTTGGTTAATTTCAAATGCTTTTAGAATACTTCCCAATACAATCTGTTGTCTGTTATCACGATATCGCTGATACCTGGCCTTGGTCACTGCAGTTAACCCTGTCTAGCAGGATGTCGCAAGTTCATACTGCTCTGGACCACCAAGCAGGGTCTTACATAAACTGTCTCAGGACCATGTCTCAGTTCAGATGCTCTTCTTATTGGATGTCATGGTGACGTTTAGCCATTGGCCTGCAATATTAGAAGGGACTGGCGTTGATGAAAGAAAGAATGGGAGACCAGGAACCCAAATTACCCTGATAATGATTGACTACTTGATTTGTGTGGTCATTGGTTTTGGTGGGTATTGTGAGAGATCATGTGTGGACTTAACCAGCAGAAGACTGCACCTTTGTGAATTTTGTATGGTCACTATCAGTCATTTATCATTAATTTCAAGAAGTTTACAAGTACTGTGGACTTTTGGACTGGTTGGCACTAAGTGCACAAGGGTAGAAATTTCAAGAAAAACCTCTTATGAGAAGACCAGGCCTTAGTTCACTCATGGCTATACATTAAAAGATATGTTTTGTTTTCTGTGGCTCGGAAAGAAAAACATTCTGTCTCGGTAAAGCACTCTGCTGATTTGCCTGAAGGACAATTGGCACAAATCCTAATTTGGTTACAATGAATCACAACCGCATAAGCTTTGATGTAAGGAAATCCAGAATTAACTGAATTTCATTCCTCTATTTCTTATGAACACTTTGGATAAAAACCTGCTGGAAAACTCCATGTGAATGCAGAACCTCTTCAAAGGAGGGAAGGAATGCTGCAAGATGAGACAAAGAATGACCTCGCTGGAGACTAATACAGTTAGAACCTTTATTTATTTTGGACATTAAATACATTACACAAAGCTTTTTCTTTGTAATAGTGTTATTGCTAGGTTTCATTATTTTTATAAACATACTTGTCTACACAAGATGGCAAGTCCATGTGAATTTTAGGGGAGAAAAATATATTGGCCTGATCCCAGTTTTGCCAAAGTGTGACTAACTATTGCAGAAGTGCAGTGACAACTTTCTTGTTCCACTCAATTGTCCACACAGCATCACAATTTCTTGTGAAACATGTCAGCTGTTAGCTTTATGAGGCCCTAGTTACATCAGAAACTCATGGCGCTTCTGGTAATGAAACTTTCAGGGGACGTGTCATATGTTGTGCTCAACAAAGATGAAGTCCAGGACCTTGACTGTGTGCTCCTGAAAAGAAACAATAGAATTTTGAGCCAATTGTTCACAATTTTCAGGTCATTAAAATATGATCGTTTTTAGCCAGATGGGATAAAGGGGTGTTCACTACTCTTGTTTTTAGCTTATAGATAACCTGCATGGTGGGTGTGGACATGGAATAGAAGCTAGGAGTTAGGAAGGGAGGTGGATATCATCCTCCTGGTTTTCCACTGATTTCAAATGTGCAGTGGTTATCTTTAGAAACAAAGTGAGTTGTGTGCATTGTCAGTCAGTGGTATTAAACCCTAGTTATTAACCCCATTTGTCAATTTTTAAAGTTTGTACTGTTTCATTTGTTTATCTTGCTACAGCGAGAACTGAAAAAGGGTAGTTACTTGGTGTTGTTGATGGGCGTAATCACCAAAACATTAACCCTTTAAGCCCCAATATCCACATACAAATTCTCCAAACTGATCTCTATATATTTCCTTAAAGAATGTGTTGAGAATTTGATAAAAGATCAGAGCATTTTCTCTTAGATGATCATTTTATTAACTCTCATAACCCAACATCTTGACAGTCTATGGATATTGTTAGGAGAAAATTGATGTTGGTCACCATTGGGACTTAAATGGTTAATAATGCAATACAAAAGACTGAAATGATACTGAACAATACCCACACCACAACACAAAAGTGAACCGACAATGGTTTCCACAACACCAAGAAACATCCTGAAGAAGGAGTGAGAATTCCTGGACTTGACATAACAAAAATGATAAAATTCTTACCCAACAAACTGCTCAAGAAAGAGGCATACGTTGCATTTCCCGTAACAGCTCCTACAACTGCAGGGTTGTGACGAACTGTTTTCACTGTAAACTGGTTCTGCACTTCCCCTGGTCCAAAGACATCAACCTCCACAATATGGGCCTCAAGGCTGAAATATTTATAACAAAATGGATTTATGTAAGGGTTAAGGCCGTGGGGGACACCTATCTATGAATAGATTCATAGGGCAAAATTTTGCTTGTGCTACATCTTAAAATCCTTATTTAATCTTGGCTGTTTTAGAGGTGATTTTGATAAAATTTTATTTAGACATTGTGAAATGATGGAAGTTTAGGACGGTTGTTTTTAATTTGGTAGACTGTGCTTTACCACGATACTTTAAGACACAGTTGTACCCAATTGGGAAATCGTGATTTTGTGTCCAAGTTTGTGGAAAGAATAGAAGACTACACTCCATGATTTTATTAACAAAATTAATGATTGGTCAAAACCTTTAGTGTGTTATGTATTGAGAAGACTTTGCAATTTAAAGTTTGCCAGCAAAATAATAATCGTTTAAGTGAGCAAACTCTGTCAATACATAACACACTACAGTCTACCAAGTTTACCCCTCTGCAGTGCCAGCTCGTGAAGTTTTGTATCTGTGCTGAATTCTTGGACATAAAATTGTCAGAAAAGTCAAATTTTGAGACTCCTGAAGGTGTCCTGACTAAAGCATGGTTTCCAACCAAGATATGTAATAATGGTAATTATGGTTGAATACATTCCACGATTTCATTTTGTTTATAAGCTGCAATGTGTTCAAGGATTTTTGAAGCGAAAAAAAAAATGTACTAGGAGTTTCATGGTATTAAATTTGGCTGAAATTTCTAAAGATTTATTTAGTTTTATTTATCACTGAAACAAGGTTTGATTCAGAGCCCATTTGTTACTTTTGTGCTTGCAGTCTGTGTGTCTCATGTGCACATGAACACTCCAAATTATGCACTGTCATCTTTTATCTAGCCTGCGAGCAGATGAAATTAAACTCTGGTACTAATCAGAGTTTAGTTATCGTCTGCACGCAGGCTATCTTTTATCCAGTTATGAATATCTCGTAAACCTGTCAATATCAGTGGCTGTACTTCTTGCATACGCTTTAAAATAAATGCATAACAAAGAGCTCAAGGTGTCCCCAGCAACCTTAAATTTATATGCTGCCTGCATTGTAAATATTTCATTGTTTCTCTGGGCCTAGTTGTTCCATGGATAACCATGGTTATTTGAAGGATGATTATTGCTAAATATATCCAGGATTAAAGGGTCCAAACATCAAATTGTAGGTAAAAAGAACCAACGGAAGCATTCAGTCACACTAAAGCCTGGTTCCCATATGCTGACAATGCATGCCCTGTGACATGGCTGCCGATACTGCCTGAGATACTGTTCTGATGTGAGAACAGAAGTGGCCAGCAACATGAGTCATTCCAGTCTTTACCGCTGGCATGGAGGCATGCCGGCGGTAAAGCTCTGTGATGGCTCTAGTAGCTAGCGGGGCATGTTCTAATTTGTCCGAGAAGTAGCCCAGGCAGTACAGGCAGCATATGAGAACCAGGCCTTACACATTAATCCTGGGTTATCCTAATCCAGCTTTGAAAAACTGGGGATTATGTATAACTAGTTGAACAAAAGTTGTATCTTGCCTTGGGTCAGCCACAATGCATCCTTGTGCTTTGTCAAATCCCAGATTATGTGCTGCCAAAGCTGCAGCAGCCATTGTATTCACGTTATTTGGAGCTAAAGGACAAAGGTCACGAATACAACCTGGAGGACAACAAAAATAGAATGACATAAATGTTTAGAAATAACAACAACAAAACACAACAGTAACAACAAAAAACTACCATCATATAGAACTGTTGCCTCTGACTTGACTTGTGCATTCCTTGACTTGAGTGGTTCATTCAATTTATAAGATGAAGGATGCTTTTTCATGGTAACTTTAAGTCCCTGAATGAGAAATAGAGTTCAAAAATAACTATGAAGGATAGCATATGCTGACGGGCATGGTATATAAAGGATTAAGTGAGCTAAAAAATAAAATGGTAAGCATTTCATGTTTTGTTTACAAAAAATAATTTTGAGAATCCAATGAAAGGAAATATTTGAGAGGAAAATATCCAATTTCCATTTCCAGCTGTCTGAATTATGAAATACCATGACTTTGGCTTTAACTAATGTTCTTACCAAGATTTGCAGGAGAAATAGAACATTTTGAAGACCTCAGTCATGATAAATTATTTGACATTCTAGACCCCCTAGCAAGCAAATTGCTTTATACAGTCAAACTACTTTAATACGGACACCAAAGAGACAGAACCAAGTGTCCTCTTTACAGAGGTGTCCGTATTGTAGAGGTTGGGAATGTATGATTTTTGGCATTTCTGGGACCAAACGAACTGTCTGTAATAGAGAGGTATTCATATTATAGAGGTGTCTGTAAGGAGATGTTTGACTGTATACGAATTAATTCAACATCATTTCAGTGCACCTTTAACGTTCCCCTGTCTGCCATTTTCTTGATGTCTGCGCCACCCCATAATGCTCCACTTGGTATATAAATTCCGTGTGTTCCACTTGAGGCTTTGTCCCTCAGCTTGTTCTCAATATCAGGGTTTGCCAAAGCAGTGGGTGAGCCTATCTAATGAACAAACACACAAAGCAAAAATTTAGGACCTCAAAGTCCAAGTCCCTTTGAGAATCTTAATATGGCAGAAGAAAGAATCATTAAAACAGTCAAACCCCTGCTAAGTGGTATTTTAATTACTTGAATATATATATAGTAGTAAAGTTGACTCCCAATAACTTGAACCTTCCAGCTATAGAGAAATAGAAAAAAGTTTGAGTTATCGGGAGTTTGAAACAAGTGACCAGAAATAATTAGGAAATGGGATGGGAAAGGAATACAAAAGATCATGCATGCTTCACTTCAAGAGCAACAAGAGAAATATTGATTTTAAAAAAAAGAATAAGTAAGCAAAAAAACTTGATTCACAAAAATGTAAAGACAAACAATACTTGGTTGTTTCGAAATAAATTCAATGTTTCGGACTGCTGCACATTTTTTTTCAACTTGCCACACATTCAAACAATTGGTTTGAGTTATCAAGGGTAAAATTATACAGAAATTATCTGAAGGGAGACAAGAATTACTTTGATTTAGCAGGAGCTTCGAGTTACTGAGGGAAAAATTACAGTAAATTTCATGAAGGAAATCCAAGAGAAATCACGATTCTATTTGAGACACATTAATATTGTCTTAATTACCACTTTACTGTCATAAGACATGGCTTTTGTATTATCATGTATCATGTACTAATATGGCGATCTGCATATACCTAATTTGGCAAAACTGGCTTTGGCTTTCTGCTTGAGGAGGAGGAAGCCAAAAACAAATAACAGTCAACCCTCTCCAAGATGGACATCTTTGGGACTGGCACTTAGTGTCCAGCTTAGAGAGATATCCATCTTATTGAGGGTCAAATAAAGGGAGTGAAGAAAGGTTGGGACCTGTGAATCATAGGTGTCACTTTACTGAGGACGAGTCTGTTCAGAGAGAGTTGACTGTTGTTAGTAAAGCTCCCTGATTCTCCTGGAGAAAGCACCTACCATATAATCTGCAACATCAAGAAAACCCTCCCCATAATTCACCGTAATGGAAGGGTGGGCAACCTCTACAATCAGGTCTGGAGTCCTGTGAAAAGTTAAAATTTTATTCAGTGGTAGGATTAACTTCCTTCAATAGTATCAGTACTGGTATCTGGTAAATGTTATTGAGGATAATAGTCCCCATGACATGTCAATATAATTATTGTTTTATTTTTTTCTGAAGAACTTGCTAATAAGACAACAATATTTTGACAAAAATTTAATATATATTTCCTGGTATCACATAAATTTCTTATCAGCTTTTTGTATAATTGTAAAATTTTCTGCAGTACCAGTTTTAATTTGAGTAGGTAGTTTACTTGTTAATACAGTAGTATAATTTATGTTACTGGCCTCGGAGCTGCAGCTAGAACCTTCTGTGCTTCCCTGCAGTTCCTGGTGGATTTCTCAACAGTGCCGTATAGAGATATTTTGAGAAAGGTTATCGGAAAAACTGTGCAGGCGACAATCCCGTAAGGTAATATGGGATATGATCAATAACCTGTTCCTGACACTGTAGCTGTCGAACCCACTACTGTTTCTTTCCTTTAGCACTTGCAAACATAAGTCCATGGCCTCTCATGCCATTCTTGCAAATTTCTTTGAAGAACAGTGAACTTAAAACCTCCGACAACACCTTTCGGCATTGTCACGTACACTTTTTCCGACAACCTTTTTTGAAATAGCTGTATATAAGGAAAAATAAGACGTATCCTAAATAAGACGCAACTGTCCTGACTGTTCTGGGGCTGTTACTAGGGACAGGGAAAAAAATGGCCAATAGCTGACCGGCGCTTCCCCAAGAAAAAAATCCCAGAAACAAAGGAGGGACACAGTTTGGCTCCATTTCCCTTGTCCTTTCTAAAGTGGAGAATGGCCTTAGCTATATATCATGAGTCTCCTGTAGCTTACTGAAAGCATCTGGGCTAGTGGCCAGATTGAAGGTTCAACTCCTATTTGGAGAACTCAGATTTTTTTGTGAGCCACGTGCATCACTGACTGGATAAACTTCATTTCTAAATTATCAATACATCTTTTAATTAACACACCTGTCTGGGAAGGACAGCAGATTTTCCAAAATGTATTTTTCATCGACTTTTCCCCTGAGTTCACTTACAGTTCTATTCCAAACAAAGCTTAGTTCAAGGTCATCTCTTTTAAGAATTTCCTCCACTAAATATTGCCCTAAAAAAGAGAGATATTTAAACAAAAAGAATATTATAGTTGCATTATAGGTAATCAGGGTAAGATGACTGGAAATTCAAAGATTTGTATTGGAATTCAAAGCCATCTAATTCTTCCTGAATTCATATATTTGATTCTTCCGTTTGAAAAGAGTAACTTACGAGTTCAAAGAAACAATACACTAAATCTGGACTGAAAAGAAGTCCGTGATCAGTTTTTAGAAAACCTCATTTTCCCATACGGTTTCTGTAATAACTCGACAGTATCAAAATTACAGCCAATCTGTGGGAAAATTGAGGTTGTTTAAAAACTGATCTCAGACTACTTTGCACTCCAGATTTAGTGTATTGTATTCAACTCGTTAGTTACTCTTTTCAAACAGAAAGCATCAAATATATGAATTCAAGAAAAATTAGCTGGCTTTGAATTCCAACACAAATCTTTGAATTTCCCGCCATCTTGCCCTGATTACCCATGATGCAACTATGAGCGTGAACTCCTCGTAGCCTATCCACAGACGTTCCTCCCATTGCGCACGGTTTATAAATCACGGTTTATAAATTTTAAACGCGCACTTGGCGATCTCTAAAGAGAAAACAGTGGGTCTGCGAACAGGCTAGACAAAAAATTAGCCCTTCTCAAACAGAGCTAAAAGAGACGAAATCTACTTTGGCTGAGCAAAACTAAACAGACTCAACCCCCCTCCCTCCCTGTTCCGCCCGGGAATCTCACCTAGGTGTCCAAATCCTACGACACCAATTCTCCTTTTCTTCATTTTTTCAACCATCTATAAATATAAACCTAGATATGTCTGTTTTGAAAAATGAATTTTCAAGAAGTTCTCAAGTTATTAGATTTCGCAGATCTGAGCTAATGACCGAGATGGGCCTGGGTGCAAGGTATTGAGCCAACAATATGTAAAACCAGCGGTAATGTTGTCAACAGCAACAACTGATCAACTCCATCTTGTTTTGCATTGACAGATCTAAACTTCTTTAATTTTTTACCAAATATGCCGCCCAAGAAAAAGAAATCGGGAAAGAAAAAACTTGCTAAGATGACTGAAGAAGAGAGGCTTCTATATATGGAGCAAAAACGGTTAGCAGAAGAAGAAATGAGGAAGAAAAAAGAGGACATGTTAACGCAGTTTTTGAAGGTGATGACAAAAAGGCAATCATTATTTTGCTAAATTTAAACCTTGTCTCTTTGCACTTGGTGTTGTAAAAGCACTTTTCTAACGATCTCTTGCTTCATTACACGTGTTATTATCTAAATCCTGTGATTTTGTTTTATATTTATTTGCTAGGATAAATTGTCAAAAGAAGAAAAAAGTACAAAATTTAATTTGAACAAGCTGCAAAACCAGTGGAGAGTCATAATGCGAGAAGGTCAGCTCTCACTATTAAAACCATCCATTAGTTTTCCAAAGATCCTTTCATAAAGACCAGTCACATGCTTGACTTGTTACAGTTGATTGATCTCAGCTGTTACTGGTCTGAAGTCATAACCTTGTACCCAGATCTCATCTCAATGAAGTAGAAGACAACATCTGGGGTTCTTACCATTTACATGGAAAAACCGGGAATTCAGTTTGGGAAGCTTCAGAAAATATGGGCTGTGATTTGAAGCAGTTCAATGTTTCTACTCTTTTGAGTCTGTAAAGTACCCTGCGAGCGGAGGCTATATTTTTGCTGTGTGAGCTGTCATGTAAAAAGTAGCTTCTGCCGAAAACCATTCAAATCTGTCCAGAAATCTGGACAAATAAATTAACAAAATGGGTTTTTTCCTGTTCTTGAGTGGTTTAGAGCATTACGTTAGTCTTGGGTGAGTCTTGCGTAGCAGAATCGAGTCATCAGGTTGTCGCAATTTTTTTATTCCCGCAAAACTCACGCCATCTGACAACAGACCTGACAATTAATTTTGCTTACGTATTATGTGCCGAATTTCGCACATGCATGATAGAAAATTGAACGTTTGTTGGCAGAGGCTACTTTTCGCACGCCGGCTAACCCAGCGAAAATGTAACCTCTGCTCTCAGAGTATCTGTAAAGCTGACATACTTTGTAGGGAGTCACTCTCCCATTACGTCAAATTTTATTATTTTATGCTTATGAAAAAAATTTCCACCTGGGGAGATTGTGTTATTGTAAGCACCCCTGGTTGAACGATGTGCGACAAATGCATACTGCAGACTGCAGACTTGTTTTAAAATGTTTAAACAGGTTTCCTATCCCTAAATTAGACTTTTACAAGATTTAAAGTTTAGGGATAGGGAATGTGTTAAAGCATTTCACAGCAATGCTTACCTCACTTACTTGACAGTCTGCAGTCTGCATTTGTCGCACACCACTGGTCAAATCCGTTTTTCCCTTGTGATGTAATAAAATGCTTGAAATGAATCCTCATAATTACAGCCATATTTAACAATGTTTTTGATAAAGCCATGCAGTTTTCTCAATCAGAACATGGTTATACGCACAGCTTAAGTATGAACTAAACAGTTATGTTATGTCTGTTTTTCATATAACATCAAATTCAATGTGGCAGCAAGTTTTTAATGAGAGAAGGTTTTAAAGACTCTTTTAAAATTTTACACTGAATTGTTTAATGCTATATCTTTTTCAATTTGAACAGCTAAATCACAAGAACTGAAGAAAGACATAGAGATACTGAGTCAAACGTTTGAGCGTGTAATAGACAGAAAAGAGGCTATTATAAAGTCTCTAGTGAAGGATATTGAAGAAGCTGAAGAACAATACCAAATGGCTCTTAGAAGTCACTTACAGAATGTTGATAGGTTAATAGGTATGTACAGCTTGAAAGACTTTAGGTTGTAATTTTGTTAATACAGCTACCCTTTGCATATTCTGTGAAGGATAAATAATTATTATTGTTTTGCTGACATGTACATGCTGAATGAAGATGATGAAGTAAAACAATAAACATGGATAGAGTTGAACTGAAAGAAGTAAAATTAGTAATCTTTTTACAAGTAGTGCCCTTATGAGCCTTCTTTGTTCTAGAGCCATACATGAAGTGTTCTAGGTAAATTTGTTTTCTTTAAGTTGAGACAGCTACAATGACAAAAGAAATGCTAGAAATTATTTTCCTTGCATCAGTGTTCTTTTTGCTGTATGCATTTTGATGATCAAACTAGTGAAATTTAAGATCACTGTGAATGGCTCATTTTGTATCTTTGCTTTCAAGATTTACAACAAAGACGGCTACAAGAAGCGCAAGATGAATATGATCAAGAACAGGAGATCCTAAAAGAAGAATTTGACACAGAAAGGTGATGAGATTGTGGCTTAAGAAATTATGGCATTTATTGTTTCTTTGAGATACTGTTAAATGCAAGATTGGGTGTTAAAATTAACGAATAGGGTTCAGAAAAATAAAACTTTATGAAATTTACTTTGAGAACCATTGTTTGATGTTGTGCAGATCTTTAAAATGTATTTGGTTATTTTTAGAATGAAGATAGTTAGTCAACATAGAAAGGAAATGCATGACATACAGGACATCATGTTTGCTATGGAAGAAGAGTGGAATGAACTGGAAAATGACGCTAAGCAAGACTTTCAAAGCCTCAGAGATGAAATAAAAAACAAGGTAACTGTTAGTGGTAAAGTTTGCTAAGAAAGCTTTGATTTAATGACTCAATAACAATAACGGCTTTACCATTTCTGGAATACACCCACAAGGTGTATCTGCCACATTGTTTCATTTCAATAAAACTTTGGCTGCATACCAATAACTTGATGGACATGCCTTGAACATGTGTTGTAAAATAATGTATTTCTTGCTTTTATCTTCATTAGAACCTTGAAGAAAAGCATGCTTTAAGAATACAGTTAGAGGGAACAGTGGAAGATTTGTGGAGGCAATTTCAACAAGTAAGCACTTGAACTCTTTGATGAACCTTAAAAAGCATTTTTTGACAGACCAGGTAGTGAGCAAAGGAGAGACACAGCCAGCTGCATGAAGGCAAGTTATAAAAGTTTTCAGATGGACAATTAGAATCAGTCACTGATTATCTAAAGCAAAATAGCATTTATCAATATTTAGCTTGGATTTCTTTTTATTATTGGTAAGCAAAGTTTTCTTAATTTTGTTTTCAGGCCCTGAAAAATTACAATGAGACAACCGAGGAAAGAAAACTGGCCTTTGAAAATCTCAAAGCTAAAGATGAGAAAAGTGCTCATGAAATAGAAACCCAGATGAGAAAACTTCAGAGAATACAGGTTTGTATTAAGGACTTGTAGAAACCTTTTCTATAAGTTTTCAGAGGGAAGTGTTATGGTGAAATTTTGCATTGTCACTTCTGGTTCCTTTATGATACAGATTTCCCAGATTTTTTGTGGGGCAACGAGTAGTTGTGCCATTTAAAAAGTTTGTTTCTCAAACCTAAGGAGTGGCTAGCTGGCTAGGGAGCCAGAGTGTTTAGAAATGGGAAGATTTGAAGTTGGGGACAAGATACTTCAGATTTCCAGACTTATAATTGCTGTAAGTTACATGGAAAAGATCATGTAATTCAGTGCTCTCAAGTCAAAACCATTTCATATCAAAAATGCATTATGAGGGCCATTTGGACTGACATGGAGCATAGTTAATGGAGGTGACTGGTTATGAAGCCCGGCAAACATCAAAGGAGCAAAAAAAGATGCCAAGATTTATGTTAGAAGGTCCACGACCCTGCACAATCTTTTGTTTTGCGTTCATACGTTATGCGTGAATTACGTAACCAGCACGTTTCTATTGGTTAGTTCCTCAGTACGGAGTAAACAACTATTGTGTTTTGTGCAGGGTCAAGGCCAAAAAAAGAGAACAAAAACATACAACAAAGAACTTTGTCGGGTTTCATAACCATTCCCTCTATTAACTATGCATGGAGAAGGTTTAAAAGAATGGAAAATTTTCAACCATAATTTGTGTCATTACCTGTAAGTTGTCACTTTTAAGAGATGATCATTTGTGGGAGTTGTTTAACATTTGCTCCTGGGAATTTTGCCAAAACTTGCATTTTTAAGCTGGTCAAGCCATTTTCTTCTTACTGTCTGTCTATAAAGAGCTCAAACAAAGCCATTTACAGGTCATACACTTTGCGGCCTTTCAATCCAAACGCAAAATTTTACCTTCTGAAGTTTGAACATGTGCAAAAAGCAAACTTTTAAGTGACACAGCAGTCTTAACTTTTTATTTTTGCCCTGACTCTCTCCTCCCCTCCTCTTTCATTTTTCTCACCTCATTTTTTTGCCTTTTGCGGGGCTGATAATGATAATGGGAGGCATTGTCCTCAAGTGGTTAAAGCGCTGGACTTGTAACCTGGAGGTCCTGAGTTCAAGTCCCACCCTGACCACTGGCTGGATTTTGCTCTTGGTAGAAGCAAGTTCAAATCCCTGGTCACGCTTGTAAAATAGCCACCTGGTTCGCCTCCTATCAGTTGAGATTTTTAACCATGTTGTGGTCCATTTGAATATTTGCTTCATTATCCCTGAAAAGCCCCATAAAGGGGAGAGGATAATTAAAGCATTATTATTATAATAATTATAATGTCACTCTATCCTTTGCATTATCTAAGGAAATCTGGAATTATAGTACTTTTTACTCATAGGAATTTCGTTGTGGAATTATTAATATGGCAGTGCTGTCAATATATCATCCTTTTGGGAATGACTTACATGTTGAGAGTGCTTTTAGCAAATGCAACATTTTTGTGATCTTTTAACTTGACATCATGATTTTCATTTAGGATAACATTTCCCAGCTAAAGGCTAAAATGGCAAGCAATGCTAAAGAATGTGATGAAAGAAACAGACTCATTAAAGAGGTATAAAGTGATAGATATTAACAAACTATGTCTTTGCAAGAC